CATATAAGTGAGTGCTCACAAATAACTAATTATAGACTTATAAATAAGATTTACAAGTGTCGAGCGCCTTCGCTGCATTACACTAGCAAGTCCATCGTACAGTTGCCGAGCTAAAAATACACTTGTGACTCCGTAGAAGAACAATGTCTTTTACCGGCGTAGTAGTATCGAGATTCGTGCTTGTTTATACACACACATCAAATTACTAGTCGATTATCACTTTTTGTTTTGTAATGGTTGAAAAAGGTTTATGCTAGTAGAGTATCAGTAAACGATAATAGGTGAAAATCATATCAGCTCCCTTAAACAAGGAGCAAACGAATCTATTTAATTAGTTTCATTGATATTCGAATAAGAACGATCAAAACACTGGGCGTCGCCATCTCATTCTGTCTCTTGGACGGACTAGGTACAATAATTCTATCGACAGATTCGTTTACTAAAGGTCAGTTCGCTCATCGTGAAGAGTTCGCTACGAATTAAGTGTATTGATTATCAAAAAGCAGGACCATACCTAAACCCAAGCTAAGAACTTTTTCGTAGGGCAGAAGCCATAAATAAATAATTTCGAAAAAACCAATCTAATTTTTTTGGGGTCTTTCATTTTAAGGTAAGGCATTAAGCCTTTTAAGGTAGGCCATTGCCCCTCAATGTGTCCCTACCCCCCCCCCCCCTACCTATCGCCATACCAAAAAGGATCGCGTGGAAGTCGACCTGACGAGGTCGGCACCACCGGCATATGTAATAACATATGCCGGTGGAAAGAGATTGTTAGTGAAGAAATGTGTAAGAGCTTCATTTCTAGTAATATCGGGTCTATAGCTAACAATGTGACTTAGATCGACCTTAACCCCCTAGAAACTATTGGGCTAATTTCTAGTGAATTGATCAGGATGAGATAACTGATCTAGACTAAAACCACAAGCGAAGTACCATTCCATTATCATCTATAAAAAAAAATGATGTGTACGTTCTTATCGATTCCCTCACCCTCTCCCCTTCCTTGTTACAATGTTAGGTGCATACTGGAAATTTACACGGTTTCTACATTATATACGCCTGAATGTTCTCGTGAGTGCGGTTCTAAACCAGCAGGGGTTATCGTTGACCTAGTGACCTAATGCACTTGGCTCAATAGCTCGAAAAATTGCCCCTGCCATCCTTTTTAACGTTCCATGTAATTGCACGTTTGCCGCAAATTTAATGACTTTTCTAACTTTTTCAATGGGTAAGGTGTTTGAAAACTTGAATTACTTATATAGCGAGCATGTTGACAGTATAGTGTTGTATTGTAAATACTCTATTATCATTGAAATTATGGGTGCACAGTGCAGACGCATATATTGCCTATTTCACAATGTATTAACCAGCAGTACAATTTCATATTCATAAGAACACTGCTTATTATTATTATTATTAGGATCATTATCCGTGAATGCGATTTCTAATTTTGTAGATTTTTTAGTCTTGAGCTATGAAAAAGTTTTATACCCAAAAAAACATTTTATAAAATGCTTCCTTTTATATTTCGAGGACATCGACTTTTCGATTAAAAGTTTGAAATACACAATTGATATGTCACCGAAGTTTGACAGGGGGTCGCACTTGCTGAAATTCACACGTTAAAATATATATCACTAGCTCAATTCCGCGACTTCGCACCCATGAATGTGGAAGTAAAATGACCAATAACAAAAGTCACTTCTAGAGGGTATAAATTTAGTGAAAAAATGGCGAGATACATTTGACTTCTCCATTGTATGAAGTGACGTAGAACGTAGATGCTTTTGTATAATGGTGTTAGTATTAAATAAGCACATTATGTGCGAATTATGTTAATTTTTTTACTACCACACGGACAAAATTGCAGACAAATTGTCACTAAATGATAAGGCTATAATCGAGAGGTATCGAACAGAATCGTATTTATTATACGTCTATTATTATTACCTAATTTTTATATCGAAATTAGCTGTAAAGTTGCTAGTTAGTCAATTAAACATAGTTGTGAAATATACAGGATTATAAATTAATATCCCTAAGTAATAAACTGCAAACAAAATTAATGGCTAATCTAACCGAATATTTAATTTATAGACACATGTCTGTATATTAACTTACCAATAAAGTAACCTTTTAAAAGTCATCATATCAGAATAGAATACAGAAATTACGCTAGTGTTCGCATAAACATTTCCATGTTGAACGGACGTTTTTAAACAGTGTGATAATGTCAAGCACGTCTATTACTAGTTATATATACATTACGTACGATGCGTTACATCAACATGCGTCATTGAATATGGAGAAAGTGTGACGTCAGATGCGCGTGTGCGAAGAAAGCATAGGTGCGCGTGCGACTCCGCGACCATGCGACCACTTTTGCTTTCGTAGGAGGCCGCGGCGTCTGCGCGATAGCGAAAACGACATACTTCGTGAGTACACAACACTACTGTCGCTTTTTCATCCGGTATTCAGGTCTCGATTATGAAATCGAGACTATTGAGTCATACTGTATTCTACCTTTTCTCTGTAATACAAAGGTTGCTTTCTTTAGTATGTTACCTATACATTAATGGTCTAATGAATCCTTCTGCTTCTGTCTACTGATAAGTTTGAGGATTGAAAATAATAAAAATTAATATATTTGGTAGGTACATCGTACTAGTAATTGATTTACCGATCTCCGCAAAATTTATCATGTTCTTCACCTTGACATAAATAAATATGAAGTTCTGAAAAGCAGTAATATTATACTTGATACAATCTCGTAAAGTCATTTCTGATAATAATGAAATTATTTTATGGATATCCGTTTTTCCATTAAACTTGTTCAGTATTTACCCGTATTATGCATAATATGACGATCGAATGTCTTCTTCCATATGATAGTATTGTATTGTTACGTCGTTTAGTTCTTTAGGACACGTAGAATCACGTTACATAGCAAGTACAAGGCTATTACTGACAGTCACTCGGTCGTGACCCGTTGACTGATTTTAACAAAATTCAGGTCAAGATCTTTAATTTATTTCGCTTTTGATATTGAATGGCACTCGTATTATAGTAGCCTGAAATTTATATTATTTATTTAAATGTTAATTGCTAATTTGCGAAAAGTATGACGCAATATTTTTTCAGTTTTGATAGTAATTGTAGTTATTAAGAATTGAAAATATTTATTTAGTTTTGCTGCACATTCTTATAAAATCTTTAATAAACGAGAACAATTACAATGTTACATACTTTTCCATGTAATGTGATCTTATGGACCTACCTTTATATTTCATTGTTTTGAGACTGCCCTAGCCTTCCAGAAAATACTAAAGACTGAACTAGTTTAACTAATGTCTGCGATATACCCTATATCTATTGTTATAATTACTGTAATAACATTTATGTTAGATAATCTTCCATTATCATTTATCGTAGTAAAACGAGCATCTAAATAATTGCATCAATTGCACAAGGAAAATGATATTGATATCCCTTACCCTTGACCTTTAACTGATCGCAAATGTATACAGATCCTTGTTCTAATACCTCTGACTTATTATTGGCTCATTTCGTTACCTTTAATATCAAAGCATTATTTAACGTACCAAATTTGAAATAGGCAATCTGACCGAGGTTCATTATTATTATTTGTAATATCTTTCATTGGTCCATGGTTAAATTTCAAAGGTGCCGATTCTTTTAGGAAAGTTTGCCGTTTGTTTTGTATCCTAACGGGACTCGTTATTAAGGGAAGGCGTTATATCTGTTTTACGATCTCTTTTGTGTAATAGTTTGTCTTGTCGATTTTTATTTAATTTTTGGGTCTTTCCATTTTTATCTACTTACTCATAGGTATATTTTCTTATTTCGAATATGCATTGAATGATTCTTTGTAATCACGGACCTACTTCAAACTATGTAGGAGTGTCTTCACATTTTCATAAAGCTTTGTGCATAATGTTTAGACACTCGGCTAAACTGATCATCTAAAGGTGCGCGAAAAAAAAATCATCGCGGGAACCATGATCTTATCCTGGCAGTATCTCGTGTTTAGTATTATAAGGAAGAACAGAGCCATATACGCCGACGGTGCCGCCGTGTGCCTACTTTACACCGTGCCGTTGGTGATTGATACTTTCAACATTGCGCGATATTCGCGAACGAATGTCGTGCGAACATAAACACGAGCTCGTGGTTCGCGGCAACCCTGCCCTGCTGCGGCACTGCGCGCAACTGGGTCAGTGGGCCGCCCCCCGCGCCGTCCTCCGCCCGCGCGGTGGCGCAACCGCGCGAACGCGCACTAACATAGACCTGGATCGCGGGAAAGTGGGTCACCGACTCACTTTCACTTATTACATGGGCTCCTAATCGTTTTCCATTGTGCGAGCGGGCGGGGGCCCGCGGGTGACGGCGGGGCGCGCATGCGGGAGGCGCCGGCACGCGCGCCGTTGTCGCCGGCCGGCCGCCAGTCGATCGCGAAACGTCTCTTGAGCGGCACGTGTGCCGCTGTTAATCAACACTTAACGCGATCGTAACATCACGCGCGCCGTCAACATTTCTTAGAATAGAGGGCTGTGGCTGAAGGCGTTCAACGCCTCAACATTTTTACACTACACTCTTTGGACAAAATGTTCTGGATTTATGTGTCTGATACTATAGTGCTTGAACAGGTGCAGCCCGCGAGCGGCAGATAGTGTTGCGGTTAGACCGCTAGTGAACTCGGTGACTGTGTGAACGTTGTCGCGGTTGGACGCCGCAGTAGGGATTTATAACAAGCTGCCGCCCTGTGCGGCTGAGCATGACGATGGATCAGCAAACAGGCCTCATGTCCCTTAACATGTCCCCGTTTGACTTGAGCCCAGGTCCAGAAGGGTCTGGCTCGGGCGGCGGACCATCAGGCGCGTCTCAACCTTACGTGCCCCAAGGCACAGCATATCAGTGCACGCAAGATCAACAATCATTCGGTTATGCAAACTTGGACCCTTCGTATCTGTTTCCAACAGGAGCTGCTGGTGAACCAGGCGCATACTTGCCTGCAGCTGGCACAGTGTGCGATCAAACGGATACAAAGGATGTGATCGAAGAGCTGTGCCCTGTGTGCGGAGATAAAGTCAGCGGATATCATTATGGACTCCTTACATGCGAGTCCTGTAAGGGATTTTTCAAGCGGACGGTTCAGAATAAGAAGGTGTACACGTGCGTTGCTGAACGAGCTTGTCATATAGACAAAACGCAGCGAAAGCGCTGCCCATTCTGTCGCTTCCAAAAGTGCCTCGATGTCGGGATGAAATTGGAAGGTGAGTACAAAACTTCTTTTCCTATAATTAAGTATTACACAATAAGTAATTTTTAAGGATAATAATGGATCACAGTAGCTAACATACTTAGTTTTTATCCAACCGTGTCGTTAAGTCTTAACCAATAAATGTCTTGAATTAAAATTCATTCTCAAGCAATCATTCTGAACCTTATATATATAATATACACACTTAAAAATACTTTTCCCAGATGATCTAATTAAAAAATGGGATCAAAAACAGCTGTTAGTATTCTGTTGATGCATGTCTGTCTCTGTGTCATACAGGTACATATGACACAATAAAACGTTAAAATTATTAATTCACTTATGCGCTACCTACCCATTTCTATATGTTCTCCTTTAACCAAAAGTTGTCTGTAAGAGATTGCCCTAGCGATAAGACCGTCTTTTGTACCTTTATATGTATATTTTGATCTGTATTCCATGCTACTATATTTCAGTTGAGGTGTTTATGTCATTGTTTATTTTTATGTTTTTGTTTTTTTTTTTATACAAGTTATAATGGAAAACAAGCTGACGGCCCACCTGATGGAAAGTGGTAACCGTCGCCTATAGACATGAGCAGTACCGTGGACATAACAGAGTATACTATTTCGCCCATGATACCCTCCATGCGTTGCCATTCCTGAAGACTCAGATGTTATTCCTCTGTACCCTGTAAATTCACGCCATATCCTACCCTTCAAACCGAAACATAGCAATGCTTCACGGTAAAAATAAAGAGTTAAACAATAAAACATTTATTATAATATTTAGATCCTTGTCTCGTCACACTTCATGTTTATCATAGCAATGTGAAACTGTATAAAGCAAAAAAAGAAATGTAAAAAAAACTACACGGTCGAAGATATAGTTAGACAGGATTTCAAGAACACTGTCTCAAACTTTCTGTATTTATTATTGACCATAACATGTAATAAGATATAACATATTAAATAATTACTGCATCCACTGTCTCCTACCAATAGTTACCGTAGAATGACTAACAGAATGAACCAGAATAGAAGGGTAATATATTGTTTAATATAGGATAATTATGAAATGTATGTATAAATAGGAGACCAATATGAATATCTAGAAACAAACAAAAAATGAACGCGAATCATGTACTAATAATATTGGTTATTCTTATTCACAATTGTTTTGTAAATAAATTAAATGACTGGGATATCCCAAACAACGTTAATTTGTAATTAGCTTGACCTGTTTCATAACCTAGTAATATATAATTAGTTTCAAGTGACACGATGGTCGGTCCCGAGGTGATACTACATATATATTGCCAATGCCTGACGACTTAATTTCATATATTCTGTTACTTATACATTTACAAATAATTCTGACCTCAAATTTATAGTCTATGAAACAAATGACACTATAAAATATATTCCAAACTTTAAATTTAACGTGTCTATACTTTTAGTACAATCATGACAGAAAACTTATATGTTGCAAAACTAAATCTTAATCAAAATATACCAACTAAAATATTTTAAGCTGCATGATTATAATTTCCTAATTCATTTAAATGTAATATTTTGATTATTATTAATAATAACTTTTGTAAACGTATACCACTAAAGAATGTATACTATACATTCGATAGGTGATCATAATCTTGTCGGTCTAGTCAACATTTAAAGTGTCTAAAAATCTATAAATTATGCGCTTTATCACTAAACATAATCTATAAAAGTGTTAAAACAACAATATTTGTAAATTCATCCTATAAAGAGGTATAGAATAATTGTATAGAAGGTCATCAGTTATGAACTTGAAATCTTAATAAATCCTAGTTGGTTTAATGAAGTTAAAATATTTGTATGGAGTCCCTCCATTTTATTCTCGCGACTAAGTAGTTAGATTCTTCACATAAAACAAAAAGACGCGTCATTTAGGATAATGCTTAAACGTATAAAGAATACACATCCTAATATTGCTTGTTACAATTCTTGCTAATTGTGTTGGCTACATTTGTCATCACTATAATAAAGATACAATTTTAAATTATAAGAACTGGGCCCTTAATTCTATATACTATTGTCATCACCACCCTTCACCTACTATTGCATTCTAGAATATTACTAATTATGTAGGACAATTCTATCGTCACTCTACAATGAAGCTATAATTTATAAATTAAATTATAAGAACCGGAACCTTGATTTGACACATTGATATTATCATCATCGTCATCCTTCCAACCCTTTTGTTATTATTTGGATATGACACAGCATGCTTTCGGATCTTGACTCTATCATCTCATTTATGACCTTACAAATATTCGTGTTCTCTTTCACACAGTCCTCTTCTCCAAACGTCCTCTCTCTTGTATTCACTTTCATTCACTTTCAAATTTATCACTTTTTCCAACATATCGTATTTATCCGAAAAATATTTATTAATAGGGGAACAAATAGGTTTTGCATCAAAAGACTATCTTAAACGGGATAATTTATTTGTTTATTGGGTACTTAAGTATTTCTTGTCTCATAATAACAACAACTACTTCTAAGACCAATAAACAGATTTTTACTACTTATTTTAATGCTTACGATTCAAAATAGCACCCTGGCAGCACTGTAAAAAGTAATACGCTGCCTTATTATACTCAGACTTGTATTTTGTTTAGTTTAGTACTTATCAATTTGCAAGAATCTTTAGCAATCTTACTTAATTTATATTATTATTTACTAATATATTCACTTAAAATCATCGATCTAGTTTCGATCTGAGGCGAACACAATCTTGTTCAATTTAGCCCTAAGAAGACACAAGTTTGCACGTTTACTGAAAAAAAGACGCCGTTTGTGGCATTTATTCATTTTCAAGGTACTTCCTTAATTTAATAGGTCGAGTCTAGGGATCCTTGGTGTTGATATATCCAGCGACGTTCAGTTTTGCAGTCATCTGGAGGAAAAGGCTAAGATGGCCTCCAAAAACGAGTACTCAATAGAGTGAGATGATATTTCACGCCGGAACATCGCTTGAAATTGTATAAAGCTCAAGTTAGGCCACATCTTGTGTAATCCTATTCTTACCTATGGGCAGGAGCGCAGCGCTATCACACTGTGGTACCACAATACCAGCTTCTTCCGTTGGACCACATTCAAAGTTGGGCATCTCGAATTATTGATAATCAGCATCTTACTATCCAACTTGACCTATTGAAACTGCGTAGAGATATTGCATGTTTGTACATCTTTTATCGAATTTATCATGGAGAATGCTCTGAAGAATTGTTCGGATTAATTCCTGTTGTTGATGTTCACCACCGTACAACCCGCCACAAACTAAAGTTCCATCCCAACCATCTGCATAAGTGGCGGTCCATCGTGCATTTTTCAAGACACTTACTTCCACGCACAACCACTCTATGGAATCAACTTCCAGCAACAGAATTTCCTCTGGTGTTGCGGTTGATCATGGGCGGTGGTAGTCACTTACCATTTGCCCCCGGTATTATTAAAAAAATTTACAAATTGTTTAAAAAATTGTGTTCTAAAAACAATAGTAGTTTAATATTCAATTTTGGATGATATCGAGAGAAATTCAATGATGAATAAAAGAAAAAACAGAAGTTTGAAGAGAACAATCTTTACACTTCATTAATCACAAATTTAAGAAACCAAATACATTTACTTAACTGAATTAGCTGACAATTACCTAATTTCATTAGGTGACTGAATATTGTTACTAATTACTTGATTTCCACTCTAAATCTTGATGTCCCAACGGCTGATTTCAAATGTTTAATTTTATTATGGTATATACAGTTAAGTAATTTTCATTGTAAGAGGTTGAGTCATTATATTCTGCGAAATATTAAAAAATTTTGTTCAAATCAATCTTCAGCGACTTTATCTGTGAGAATTTATTCTTAATGCCGTGTGGTCCCGGCATAGAAGAGACCACCCCTTCCTTTCCCGTAAGAGGCAACTAAGAGAAGACAAGGGAAGGGCAGCAGCGTCCCTCTTAAAACATCTCCAAAGCCCAACTGCGGCTTTTAATCCGACTGCCAAGCGTGGCAACTACTGGCAAAACCCCTCAAGGAGGAGACTTATATTCAGCAGTGGACAGTTAAGGGCTGATATAATGGATGATACTATAACGTAAATGATGTTGTAACAGAAATATGTAACTAAGTGAAATTTTGGCTCCAACTGTGTAGGTAATCTAAATAAATAGATTTTTTTATATTTAATTTGGACAAATAATCTAGTATACAATAGTATAGTTAAGAATACATAAAATAGGTTTAGTAATGAAATGAAGGAAAAGCTGTCATTGTCACCATTTATTATATAAGATAGTAGAGTATATGCTCATATTTTTTTTACAATAACTTGTTGCGTGAAATATAACATATTACTAAAATATTTTAACATTCGCTTCAAAAGTCTGTTTATTATAGGGAATCGCGCGCTTTATCGTTCTGTTTATATAACAAAGTAGGCGACAGCGGATGAGCGCGGGCGCGGGTAGCTGCACCAAGTATTGTCCTCACATCGCGTTGGTGCGTAAGTACGAGACCACTTGAATTTATTTCTTCGTTCATAATTTTTTATTTACGATTGTATGCCAAATTAATAACTCTTTACAGCAATAAAGGATTAATTTGATAATGATTAACACTGTATCCGTCTAAACAGCTTTTGTAACTACTGTAATGGGTATGATTAGCAATCTTTAGAAGGTAAAGATAAGGTCAATATGGCGATTCGCTGACTACCACTGGTTTTTATACAGTGTTTCTATGTGGAGAAAGAGAATTTTTATAACCATTAAGTAGGAAGATTAACATGTTCCACACTTCCTTGTACATTATGACACACGCACGAAAAGAAAAAAATATGTTACATGTTATATGTATTTTGTTTTTTTTTTATCTATCTATGTATGTCTATTTATGTCTGTTATTATTTGTGCGCTATAAATTATATATATATCTAAATTTTTCAACTATACATATATATT